TTCAAGGATAAGGACAAGCTCGTAAGAGAATTGCTGTCACCAAGGTAAGTATGGTGAAACTTAACAAATTGTTATTTAGGCATAACACCGAGAAAATGGTCTATTTCCTGTTGCTGGACCGGAAACGGAGGCGACCAGCTCAAGAAGATGACACCGAAGTGGTACTCCGGGGTTCCGTAGTAAATGCCGATCCGCCGAGGAAAAGAACGGATAGCCAACGGCCGAATAGGTAAGTTCGTGATACCTTACTGATGCGTTAGCAAAATTTTGAGACTTCAGTCCTAGTTTATACTGTCATTTAAGGGGCTCAAGTCTAGGAAACCCCCCCCCAGCCGACTTTTCAACTTTTCTACCTTCCTTATTTTTATTTTTCACTACTTTTTTCGACTGAACTGCAATGTAGTCTTACTAATTAGACTACGGCGAACATTTTGGTATACTTTAGAGCTCGTTAGCACAAAGGGGGGGCCGAGATACAAAAGTTGGTGCCGGCTGGGGGGTTTCTAGACTCTTACCATTTAAGGTATGCTGTTGGAAGTATCGCCGATGGTAGCCCTATCAATCCACGAAAAACCTATGGACGCTACAAGAGTGGCAGGCATTCTTCGCTTGGCGGCTCGCCAAATGAGTCGCCGAGGGCTTCAACTCGGGATCTCTTCAATTTCTCTTCGAATAGCAACAGTAGTAGCAGCTATTCAGCTAGAGGTAAGCGTTGAATCTGAACTTAGGCTTAGCTTGGGCTTCGATTAGTTTTAACCTTAATCTTTGGCTTCCGCTTAGACTTTCCACCCGACGGTATCCTTGTAGCCTGTTTTCCAGGTTTCGAAGACCGAGGCCGAACAACTACTCGTGCTCAAAATCAATACCATTACTACACCCAACCAGTTGATCCGGAAACCCTTGCCGCAGCCGCCCGGAATGTCCGTCAAGCTAGGGAGCAACAGGTTCGAGGATCCAGTGGGCTCACAGATTTTGTTCTAGGAACGACAGTCCGAAAAGCAAGCCCAAGCGGAAACGTCGAGAACGGCGAATTCTTCCAACGCGACGTCTCCTTCCTATGCACAGACGGTCAACCCGATGATGGACTCGACGCTGTCGATTGGGGCTGGTATGACATCGAATGCGTCGAGCACAAATAGCCTGATTACAGGTATGAATTTTATAAAAAACACAATAAATTGAAATCCCTTTAGGCAACAGTCAGAATCAACTCGGCTCGTCGTCAGGCCCGTGGAGGATGAAGCTATCCAACATCAAGAACTCGATCATGGGGACGCCAAGATTCCATAGAAGAAAAATGAGCAACGGGCAGGAGAGCGACACGGAGGACAGCCAAATTTTAGACACCACCGAGTAAGGAACAGTTAAAGTATCATTGATTCCCTTGTTTCAGTCTTGTCAAGAAATCGTGGTTCGGCTCCTTGACCTCGTCAATGAGTGTGGAGCGTGAGGATACGCATTGTGTACCGGTGCAAGGGAGGACGTTGAACGGGATCAAGGCGGAATTGATACGAGCATTTTTGACTGTAAGTTGTAACCTGTATTCTGAGCTTTCAAAGCTAGAAGCGTCTTCAGAATCCTGACGACCAAAAATTTCAGATCCACGAGCTCTCCCACTCCGTCGTCGGGCAGAATTCCTTCCGGGTCGAGTACAAGCGAGGACCAACATATGGTGGAAGTGTGTTTAGTCGAGGCGTCAAAATGAACGTAAGTCAAGAAAATCCATACCTTGAGCCCTTCTTGAGGTCGACATTATCAACAGTACGCAACAACTCCCCGGTGAAGCTCCAATGTACGTCGTGCAGTTCTCACTGCTTGCTGGTCCCGTCCGAAGATTCAAGCGCCTCGTCGAGCATTTGACGTCAGTTCTCCAAAATGCTACGCAGCAGAGGTAGGTTTTCGCAAGGTTTTTTTACGGCGATGACAACGACCCAATCGATGACGTCATCTGAAGCTCATGAAATTCTACAAACCACTTTACGAATTCAGGTCCGACCGCCAAGCAGCCACCCAAATGATGGTGCGCCCCCGGAGATTATCCGATTCCTCGGTGAGCAGCGCGTGCAGTGAGAGTCCGGCCGTGGCGGTGGTGACCATAGCGGACGTGGTGCATGCTCCTTCACAGGCGGTGGGTGTTGAGACCCGGCCTCACGACGGCTTTTGCGCGCTACACTGGCTTGGCTTGGGTTGCTTGGTTGTTTCTGTAATCACTGTCTTGCCTGGGGTAATCAGCAGCAGGATGCTGACGCCTAAGGCCTATGTTGCTTTCCATGTCATAGCTGCTACGCTTGCGTGCTTGCTATCTTTTTTCCGAGCCTAAAGCTTAAAGCCAAGCAAAACTTTCGTATCTGATATTTTAAAGCTTAAAAAGCAATTTCGACAAGTCCTGAGTTGATTTCTTGTCTCCTGCCTTGAAACCGGGCTGTTAAGGCTAGAAAAAAGCTTCTTGTTGTGTTCGAAATGGCTAGAAAGTGCCAAAATCGACCTCCTCGCGTTGACTAGGTCTCGACTAGACTAGGTGCCGACAGTTAACTTTCGGACTAACGGACGAGCGTGAGATTAATTGTATCGTATAATAGCGCTTTGATCTTGAATTAACTTCTTCCGAATGCATGTTTTGGATTTATACGTCGCTGACTAGACCTAGCGACGCTGGAGGTGGCTTTCTGATGTCCGTGTGCCATTAAAGGGATACCCAACCTTTTCGGGGTTCAAAAAGCAAAAACCATGCCGCGGGCGGGGGTCGAACCCGGGAGCGCCGTTTTGTAGGCCTGGATGGTATCCATTAGGCCATAGTGGCTAGCCATTGGGTGGGATGTGGACGTCACAAGAGGGAAAGGTGTCCGAATTCTGTGCGGCACTGGCGCCTCATTGCCGCACAAAATTCCCGTGTCATTTGTACTGCCCGGAATACATAACTATATATTTGGCACCAAAACCTTGGGTATCCCTTTAAGGGCGCTCGGATAGGTTGTGCTTAGAGGCATTTTATCTTGAGCAAACCTCTCCTTCCAGGACAAAATCGAATCTGCCATCCATGCCGAGCCCGGCAACAACTACAGCCGCCACTCCATGAAATCGGTCGGCTCGAAGAGTAAGTATTACTTTAATATATAACCCTATTAACGATTGCCATTCGATTCAGGCTAACCCCCGCCAGCCAAGGTGAGCTAGCCGGCCAGTAATACATTTCTTTTCTCTCGCAGAATTTGCCTCATCAGCACGCCTTCTAACCCTATTACATGACTGCAAAATATCGCTTATTTTGGCTAGGTTTCCACAAATTTTAGTAATCGCAAAATCTAACAATTTTTAACCGATGCTACGCGTTAATGCTAATGCGAAGTTTTTGTTTTATTGTTTTGCTTTGACTAACGAAAGTTGTTAATATTGAAAAATAACAGTTTTAGAGTTCCGTTATAGTTTATGATAGTTATACGATTAAATTAATGCCTAGAATGAAATATATTTACATTATAAATAGTTTAAATTTTCAGTTTTCTAAAAAAAGGTTGTTGTTTTCGCGACCTCTTAAATTCTATAAAAAAACCTTTAAAATAACTATCAGCCTCCTTTTCCGCAAAATGATCAGCTACTGTAATCCTGCCATTTTTCTATGATTTGCCATCATTAGCAGCGTGTTCTCACCGGCCCGCCTCGCCCATTTTCTGGTGTCATTTTCATTTTCCAGGGTCTAGCCCCGCCCATTTCCTTGGCCCCGCCCCCGTTTTATACATATTTGCTGTGCAAGGCTTGTGGTTGAACTTTAAATCTTCGGTTTCAGCGTTAACACTACCTTTTTAGATGACTACACGAAGTCGCCGGGGCCGCAACGGCGAAACACGTCGGCTGTGATCATCCAGCCCAGGCAGGGCGTCTCCAGATTCGCATCGAATCCGGTGCCCGCGTTAATGCAATGTGGGACGTCGAATTCGAAGACGAGTCTGGATCACACTGCCCCATTGGACCCGTCGGTGTCGCCACGCCCGTTGCCCCACCCCCACTCATTCACCCACTCCGAGCCCACAACCCCAAAGTGGTAAGTGAATCATGAAATTCAGTTACATCCGGCCTACCCCTTAATCCCTTAATCAAACGCTTGCTCAACTTGCTCAACGCGCAAGCCTCTTGGCCGATGTAAGGAGGTCGCTACAAAACGGCTGAACAGGGGGCTCGCGTTGCGTGTCGCGGCCCGGTAGAATTGCTACGGAATCGAAGGCCAAAAATGGCGCTCCTGCCTGGATGCTTCGTTCAAGGTTAAGGGGCGCACTGTAGGCACTTTGCGCCAACCGATGAGTAATTTCACAACGTGTCCGCACCACAGCAGCGCAACGCAGCGCGTTTGAAACCACCGCCACGCGGCTGCAATGCATCGCGTCCGCTGCCGCAGCGCATTGAGTAAGCGCACACACCGCGTTTGAAAGCCGCAGCGCGATGGCAACGCGTGCACAGCGCATGGATTCGCGTCAGGAGAATGCAGGCAACGTGAAATCAAGACCCAAACCATACCCTAATCCTTCGATTTTAGCCTAAACTTCTCGACCCCGAACCCGTACACCGGCCGCTCGAATCTCTCGATAATGGGCCCGCCGGAAAATGTCTGAATTTTCCCCTAATAATCCCCAAATCCCTAATATTCCCCTAGAGCCGATCCCCAGGTAGGTGATCGGCTCGGCTGATCCGTTGATCTCTGCGATCTCTTTCATGCTAATTGGTTCCTCCAAACGCATATTTTGCGTCTATTAATGCATTTACCAATTTCTTGTCAGCGCTTCTTCACCGTTGCCTCTTGCTCTGCTCTAGATGCGTAGCCTGTATTCTGGTCTGATTTTTATGACATTTTATGTGTTTTTGCTGCTTCGCAAACACCCCCAGCCACTCCATTCTCCAAATCCGGGTCTATCCCACACACACCACTACTAAGTCGTCTTCTCGAATGTCTAGGTTCTCAAGTATAGACCAATTTTCGCATTTTCGTCAGTAACTATTTATCAATTATCTCCTTTTTTCTGGAAAAACCTATAGCTATTCAAAGTGCGTTTTTGTTTCGTGTGAATCGTATAAATGTTGGAGCATCATTTTGTTCGCTAACAAAAACGGTATCAGAGTATGCAATCCCGAGAACCCGGTAAATCTTGCGAAATAGCTCTAAAATAGCGCATTTAAATGAAGACATGGCTTTGAAGTTCGTTGCGAACTCGCCGTTTGACCGTGGGTTAAATTAAAGGGAATACGGTAATAGAGTATGATTTATTTGTGTTCAAATTAATTGTTCGATTGTGTGGGCTCCTCAGTCTGCCAAATGCATCAGATCATTAGGTTGGTTTGGTGGATCAGATGGAGTAGGTGGGTTAGATGGATTGGATGGATTAGGTGGATCCATCAGGGTTGCATAGCTCCTTGGCGGGTACTTCTCGTGATATTCAGAAACCTCGCCAACGCGGTTATATCCAAACTTTTCGAACCCGATTTGGCGATCCCTGAAATGATTTTACCACATTACGGGCTGGGAATCTGATTTGCGGCTGACTTATCTTGTGCACGATTTTTTGTTGGTTTCGAATCTGTTTTCCAAATTTCCGGAGGAGCCTGCTTTCACAAGTTACAGTAATTTTTTCGAAATCAGACGGAAACGGTCTCAAAATCTTGTGAAATCGGTTTTGGAAAGAAATCAACCATATCCCGCGGTACAAAGGAAGGCTCTTGTAAATGAGCTCCTGTAGCATGTAGCTGACAAAGGAAGGCACGCTCACATGCCATTTACGGAACCTTCACGCAATTTTCACCTTCCCTGATACTTTTCAGCAGTAAAGCTTCAGCATTTAGACCAGTAGGTGGGCTCCCCGCACACGCAATTTTCGAAATTTGGACTTCTTCAATATCATTTTCAGCATAGAAAATTTTTCCAAAACCACTTGTTGTGGCCAACCTTTGGAATACCTGATTCACCAGTAGAGCTGATTTCTCTCTCAAAACAACAATCGTATGTGGGGTCATATAAATTTTTCTTATCGAAGCGTACCGGGGCGCTTAAAATTCGTATTCATCAAAAATCTACTCCAACAGCGACCCGAACGTGCAAAAAAAATCTTATCACAAATTCCACACGAGCCGCAGAATTTTACGGGCCTCATTGAGCGCCTTGTGTGTTCGCTTCGATTCGCTGTTGTTGCTAGCGAAAACAGCCGTTAATAGGTTAAGAATGGTGCTTCTGCTAGTGCACAGGAACACGCGCTGGTTCATATTTTGTTGTGGGGTGCTGTTCAAATACTCCCTCGCGTTGGAACTGCCGATTCAGCAGCAATGCAAGGTGTTAATGGTCGCAGACGTTACGAATGCAGCCCCGGTAGGCTTTACAAGTTCTATGTCGTTTTCCATGTCTGGTCGTTTTTAGGGATTTTTGAAAAACTCTTTAATTGCCAACTGGCGCAGATTATTAAAATTGGGTTTTGAAACTCTTCCGAAGCGTCAGTTTTAGCAATCTGAGGCTGCCACACTGATGGCCACGATGGTGGATTTGTTCACCGGTGCTGGCGCAAATGGTTTCAACATCTCGATGGCGTTCTGGAGATATAGCCGTGGAGGATCTTTTGACGGGCCGATCCCGACGAAATTTTTTTATGACATTGACGCAGTGCCAGTTAATTTTGGGATGCAGGGAGGCAACCTCGACATTATCTCGTTCGTAATATTGGTCAAAAGCCCGTAATTTTCTCTATAGTGCCACCGAAGCGCTGAGTGCTTGGGCAGTGGACGACGCAGTTATCGTGCTTTTCACCGGCAGGTCGGCTTAATTCCTCAAGCCTTTTTTGGTTTGGTATTGGTTGGCCTTCCCTGGGACCTAGATACGATACAGTTTTGCAGCGCCCAAAACAATATCGATGCGGCTGGCCGGGACTACATGCGCAAAGAGTGGACGGTCGGGGTGGCAGGTTGGTCAGAGTCCGACGCTAAAATTCCAATCTCGCTTTGGATCGAAAAGACACTTCGGCGTTTGCGACAAAAGTTGTGCCGATGCTGTCACCCCCTGCCATCTTTGACGCCACGATGGAGTTATGCAAAGACGAGACTCAAGGTGCAACCACAATCCCGCCGACAATGCCGACGCCATTCTATCGGCGCCCCAGTTGCTTGCTGTACTTCGTTTTGGACGCTTCTTTAGAGAGTTGGGTGGGTAGTGGATAGGTTAGAGAACCTCGGAAGTAGTGGATAGCTCGGACAGAGAAATATGCTGTTGAACATTCAGGCAAACGCCCTGTTCAGGATACCTACGGAACACAGATTGACTACATGCGACAAATAGGCCGACAGGCATTCCAAATTTCTGTAACTTCACCATATCAGCTCTATGCGCGCGCCCTGCACGTGGGACAGGTAGGACAGCCTTGCTATGGCAAAAAATCTACTTGTAGCGTGGTCCGAACGGTCCTGTATCCGTTTACTCGCCCACCAACAGCTACTACGGTCTAAATTACTATTTTCAAATTGAAAGCCAGTATGTTAGCTTGGCAAATGCGACAAATACCACAGTGGCCAAGTAATTAGTTCCCGCGTTTCCACTCACTCCGTCCTAGGTCCATCGAGCTGCTGCAGGCCTTTGCGACCAATACAAGCGGCCAGGCCGTTGCTCTAATCTTCACCAACAGGTGCGAATTTAGAACCACACACAAAATCCGCCTGCAGCAACCAATCAGCGGTCGATGCCGTGCAACCAGTGTCGGCAAATAATTTATTCGTCTACGGACACGCATTCTCAGGTTTTGGCTTCAGGTTACCTAATCAGCAGAGGGCTTTTTTACCAGGAGACGTTTTTAGTGACAATCGAGTTTGCGTACGGAGCAAGCCTAGCTTGTGCAGATTTTTGCGCTGGTTGCGACGCTAATTTCAAAATATACGAAAAGGGTATAAAATTTTGTAGATCCAAAGAAAGTTGTGAACCGTTTCAGGGTGGAAAAGGCAAAATTTTGCCGAAATTGAGAATTTTTGGGGCTTTTCCCCACTTATAACTTTCATAGCTTTTTGAATCGGATTGTTTCGCAGTTTTTGAAAACAGGTTTGAAATCAGCACCAAATTCTGCACAAGTTAGGTTGGCTCCCGTACGAAAATTCACTTGTGGCTCAAATACGTCTCCTTGTTAGCGCCCGGATTTTCTCTTCTTTTCCTGTATATAGAAAGGGAGAACGAGGCTGTTCCATTGTCCTAAAAGGCCATCCGTTCCAGGTGCTAACCTCAAACGCATTGCGTACCCTGTCGGTTTGGCCCTCACGCAAACCATGCCCAAGGCGATAGACGAGTACTGTCGGTCTGGGTTGCGACCCTCTGACAACCCCACCTTCCCTCCGGACCCAACTCCCTACCCAACCGCACCCACGACCCCATTTTGGAAACCGAACCATGAGTGCGGCATCGCCTTCTACTTCGACGGTTCTAAAGAGGGCTGGGTGAGCTCGCGTATATTCATACTATCCGAAACTGAATCTGCTATTTCAGCCACATTTTGAGCTGCAACATCGGTTGATGGCATCTGCCATGGCAACAATGTTTGAGGCTATGCAGGATGCACGTTTTCTATTTGCCGGCAGGGCCGGCGTTATCGGTCAGGTGGGTTTGCACTCTAAGCAAGTATTCAGAACTAGGTGGGGTTCGTTCCGCCAGATTTTCATACGGCTGGCAATACACACTCATATGCAGACTGGGCGCGTGGATTCAGGAGCATAAGCGAAAACGTTACGGAGTCTGGTGCACGAGACCAAACGCTTGCCAAGTTCGACAAATTTCTCTTCCATCTGGTGTTCTAGCATTATCGCGTATTTTCAAAGGGAAAAAAATTACTGGGGATATGATGCGAGGTTCTTCTTCTTCAGTAACAGGTATCACTCACATGACGCAGCAATTCGTCTAGTCCTCAAGCTGAAATAGACGCGATCTCGGATATTAGCTTTCGGGAAAACTTGTATGGATACAATTTACAAGGTCAGTTAGAATGCAAGCGCCTTCAAGATGCAAGCTTTCAAAGCAAAACTGCAACCACCCTGGTTTCAGGCGCAGATATGAGCCGGATCGCAAAGCCGTTAACTTTTCCGCTAGATGATGAATGGATTTCAGAGTTCCGGGACTCTTGCACGGTATTTTGGCGGGATCCGTTTTGGGAAAGCGAGTTTGTTTGGAATAATCTAGCGTACTTCCCGAGAGTCTCGGGCCGAGACTGGGATGCCAAAAACCAAAACCAAGTTTTGCAAAAAATGTCTCATTACCATTTTCAGACACCGATTGCATAACGTCAGATGCCACCGTCACAGAATAACAGCAACCCGCACGGCATCGGCTATCAATAAAGTTTTCGTACCGCTGTTTATCCAACAGTTTTACATTTTTCATTCATCGTCATTCTTTTTGGCAGAGCGACGATGGATGCTATTCAAGAATTTGGTCGATCGATGCGTGTTTTTCTCACCTGCAAGCCGCAGAGTGATTCTCGCACGAGAAGCTTATCATGAACGTGAAGCGCCCCAGGGGGTTTAATGGGTCTCCCTCGACCTATGGCCGCTCGCTAATCAGCCTTGCTATCCACAGCCTGAGCGCGACAAGTTCCTGAATGACGCCGATGCTTCAAAAAACGCCTATTTTCTTTATTTTCGTGGCGCACTCATTTCAATACTCCGTTGCAATAGAAGCTTCGCTCAAACAGAAATGCCAAGTGTTGCTGGTGGCGGACGTTACGGATGCCGCTCCGGTAGGTATCACATGTTTTAACTCGACCTTTCGAACTTTTCGAATCAATTCTAGCAAATTTTTGCGGGCTGTTGACACAAACCAGTTACTGAAAAATAAACGGTTGCACTGACTTCAGTTTTGCTTCTAGCAATCCGAGGCTTCGACCCTTATGGCGACCATGGTCGATTTATACACGGGAGCTGGGGCAAATGGAATCAATGTCTCAATGGCGTTCTGGAGGTATAGTCGTGGTGGAGCATTCGACGGCCCCATTCCGACAATCTTCTATTATGACATGAACGCGGTCCCAGTGAATTTCGGCGTGCAGGGTGGCCATCTCGACATCATCTAGTTGGTCTCATGCTTTTGAACTTATCGTTTAGCACAGTGCAACCGAAGCGTTAAGCAGCTGGACTGTAAAAGATTCGATTATTGTACTTTTTACTGGAAGGTAGGATGCATGGTCCCCAGGCGATTTTTGCAGCAATAAGGTTTCAATCGATATAGATTTATCACTCTACTATTTTCACCTTTTATTTGCTTGTAAAACACACAGCTTGCAGCGACGCGGGCAAGTTTGCCGCCGCTGGTCGCGACTACACCAAAAACAAAACACACCAAAAGCACGTATGGCACGCTAACCTTGTTGACTCATTTTTGATGGAAAGGATACGTCTGATTTCGCGGCAATGCCGGTCCCCTTGATGTCGCCCCTGGCGATCTTTGATGCGACAATGGAGCTCTGCGAGGTTCAGGCTCAGAGTACCACGCAACGCCCATCGACAGCAAGCGTCTAAAGTTTTAATATGTATTGCCGATGTAATGAATAAACTTTTCCCGTAGGTTGCAAGAAATTGTCACTCGTTCCCTTAGCAATGATAGTCGTTTGGGAAAAGAAAAACAGTCGTGTTGCCACCGAGAGATCATTTTTGGATTCCGTGGTGCGTAAGTTCTAGGTTATAAACTTCCTGGCATGAAGGAATAAGATACGACGTCGAGAATTTCCATCGAAACGAAATGTTGCAATAGAATCTAGTGGTTGGATCCGAGAGTTGCCGCAGATCAATAATTATCAAAATCTGGTTCGAACTTCTGTATGGCCCTCTGCGTTCTAACCAAAAATCTCCTGAATAAACTTTCGACTTCACAATAACAGCGAGCGCATTGTCGGCCAAAATTTTTATCACAACACGGCCGCTCCCCATCACGGCGGAATCGCCAACGCTAAATACTGGCGTCAATTTTCAGTTGCTGTTGTTGCTGACGCAAAATTTGTTATTATGTTCCTTGTTTTTGGCTTGAAGTATGCAGACGCTTTGATTTGCGCGCCGCGAACTGAAAAAAATCCGATTTAATGGTAAACATAAGGGGCAACATCTTTTGACCAAAAACTCCTTATCGCAATCGGCTTAGCGGACAGAGTTTAATGCTGTGTGACAACCTTCATTAGCCGTTGCTGTTACACAAATAGCTCGCAATTAGACGTTCAACAATGGGGCTTGTAACGCAGAATAATTTACCTGCCTTAATATTTTGTTCTTGGGCATCCTTGCAATTATGTTCTGCGTCAGATTTGGCTATACAACAAGGATGTCAAGTGCTGCTAGTAGCGGACCTTACCGATTTGGCCCCGGTAGGTTTATAAAATTATCTAGGCAACAAATCGTCTGTGATTGTTCGGCATCCATGGATTTGTTGCGCATTTTATGTGTACTTCAGAAAACAGAGGCTCCTACGCTGATGGCAGCTATGGCTACTTTGTTTGCCGCAGCCGGCGAAAATGGGATTAATATCTCGGTGGCATTCTGGAGATATAGCCGCGGAGGGGCATACGACGGGCCCATCCCGACGGATTTCTATTATGACATGAATGAAGTCCCGATAAATTTTGGGTTTCAAGGCGGAAACCTTGACATTATCTCGTTAGTGAATTTTCTTGAAACTTTTTCATTAACTATAGTGCAACCGAGGAACTGAGTGCCTGGCCCGTTCAGGATGCGGTTATTGTCCTTTTTACAGGCAGGTCAGTAAAGTAAAGTATCACGATTCCACAAAGATCATTTCTGTTGACCGGCTAAGTATGGTTTTCAGCGACCAGGGCAAAATCGCGAAGGCAGGCGCGCACTACGCAAAACAAGCTAATACAATCGGAGTAGCAGGTTTGATGAGTCCAAACAGCCTTCACATTTTTTTCGATGGAAAAGACACGTCGGCCATTGCGTCAAAGCCGCTACCTTACCTCTCTTCCCTGGCGATTTTCGACGCGACGATGGATTTATGCAGGGATCAGACACTTCAGACGAGTCCGTTCCCCACGGCAGTGACGACGCAAGCGTCGGTGCCGACGACGGAACTCACTCCTTGTCATGCCCGCCCGATTTGCGAACTATTAATAGTGTTGGACGCTTCTATGGAGAGCTGGGTGGGCTTTGTATTTTTCTGCTGCAAAGACTAGACTTCTTTACAGTCTTAAATAGAGCAAGCTTGTGCCTTTGAAAATGCACTCGAAAAGACGTCAAAGTTTTACTTACCTAGCCCGAAACAACTCAAAATAAACCTCAGACAGCAAACCCTTTCAAGACTGACCTCGATTTAGAATACCTTGGAAACGCAGATTGACTACACGCGGCGAATAGGCCTAAAAGCCTTTAAAACGTCCGTGCGTGCACCATATCAGCTTTACGCCCGGGTTTTGATGGTGGGACAGGTAGTAATCACTGACAACCGCTAAAAAGATATTTATGAAGCGCGACATTCACGGCCTCTCGGCCTCTGTTAACGCTGACTCCTACTATAGGCTAAATTTAAACTTGGAGAGGCTGCTTGATGACGCGACCATGGGAAAAGCATTGAATACCACCGTCGCCGAGTAATTGTTTTTGATTCCCAATATGCCCTTGCTCGCAGGTCCATAAATCTGCTGCAAGCATACTCCACCAACGCAAGCCGCCCAAGTGTTGCGCTAATCTTCACGAACAGGTAAGGTTAAAGCAAAGTCCCAACATTCATGTGAAGTGACCAAGCAGCTGTTGATGCAGTAAAATCGCTGCCCGTCAATATCGTATTTGTTTATGGTCATGCATTCTCAGGTGAGGTATTTTTGAGGAGGCATGCTTTCTTTCCTAGAAGGAGATTTACCAGTAAAATTCGTGGCAGGCCCAAGGGAGGCAAACAATGGATAATGAAAATTAAAATTTCATCGTCCGTTTTTAGGGGCCAATCTCCGTCGGATAGCCTATCCAGTCGGCTTATCCCTCACGGAAGATATGCCCAAAGCAACTGATGATTATTGTCGCACTGGGTTCAGACCCTACGACAATCCCACCTTTCCCCCGGACCCAACACCCTACCCGACTGCGCCCACGACTCCTCAATGGAAAGGGAAACGTGGCTGCTTGGTCGCTTTTATTTTGGATGGTTCAGAAGAAGCATGGGTGAGTGATAGGGAGAGAGCTAGAGAAATGAACGCTTAAATTCCAGCCTTATTTTGAACAGCAGAAAAAGTGGATGCAATCGGCGGTGTCGACCCTTTTTGAAGGGATGCAAGATGCTAATTTTGAGTTCGGTGGGAACGCCGGAGTTGTCGGTCAGGTAGTCATACCTCAAGGCCAAATATTTGGCTTAGGCGATAATCGAGACACTCGAACTTTTCATGTGGCCGAGTCCTACATATGCAGGATGGGATCAGAAATTTAACAGCCTGAGCAAAAACGTCTCCGCACTTAATGCAAGAAACCATACGATTAACGAGTAAGGCCCGTACAATTGTTCATGCCGCTTTTGCAGCACCATATCCTTCCTGAAATTTGAAAGGTTCAACTGGAGCCAAGGACTGGAATGGGCAAGAATTTTTTTCTTCAATAACAGGTATTATCCTCCTATCGCGAGGCAACATATTTAGTCCGCAATCCGAAGTCGACACGGTTCCGGATATTGACTTTCGCGAAAAACTGTACGGATACAATTTTAAAGGTTAGTAGATGGGGTGTAAGCCTAAGCAGTGCCATAATTGCCGCTTACCGGGATCATTTTAGGTGCAGACATGAGCCGGATCGCTAATCCCCTAACTTTTCCCGTGAATGCGGAGGTCATTTCGGAACTTCGAGACTTCTGTGCGGTAAGTCAGCAAAGCTTTGGTGGGGTTTAAATTCTCGTCGAAGCGCCTGTGGTCGGTCCGGGATGTGCGAGATGGGACGGGTGGATGTAGTCAGTAGTGCGTCGCAGGCACTGGAAAACCGAGGCCGCCTACTTCCCATACCATACAGTAGCGGTCAAAAAGATGTCCCCTCGGGAGATCGCTTGGTGCTCGTAAACCACAGGCCCAAATTTTATGAAACGTCGTTTCTAGGTCAATTCGGCTACGCAGAATCCGATGGCAACATTAAAATCTATTGAAAATTCGATTTTAATGGTCAAACTTTCATTTCAAAAAATCTCTAAAAACAACTTTTTCATGGGGGATTTTCGGGTTTCAAAAATATGTCCATCGTGTTCGCAAGGGTCGAAAACCTCTAGTCCGTTATTTTACGACACTTTTTCTGCCGGGGCCTGACCACATTGACGGCCGAAAGTTGCTGTCGCGCGGGCCAAAATCCTTTGAATGGGCTTACGGGGACCAGGAAAGCGCCCCGCGGCGACAACTTCTCGGCCTGATGGTAGCGAACCTCAAAGAGATAAATGTTTAAAAACATGTTCGAGATAGGTTTTCGACCTTTGCGAACACGATGGACACATTTTTGAAACCCGAAAATCCCTCAGGAAAAAGTTCATTTTACCGATTTTTTAAAAAATTACATTTCATCACTAAAATCAAATTTTCAGCCGATTTCAAGTTTACCATCGGATTCTCCGTATCAAAATTGACCTAGTGGCAAAGTTTCATAAAAGGGCCTGTGGTTTTCGAGAACCAGACGATCTCATGAGGGGACATCTTTTTGACCGCTACTGTACATACAGGGTGTCCCAAACCCCCCCCCCCTACCTAGCGGTCCACAGTCGATTCCGATTTTTACGATTTAGGTATCTATCGAAAGCTCTCGAAAAGGCGAGAAAACAAGGAGGGTTGAATTTCTTAATTAAGCCTTTTTATTTGCTAATTTTACGTCCAAAAACCATGAAAAAAGCTGATTTATGCGAGATCTGCATGCTAATTGCGAAATTCCTGATGAAAAATTCCCGGTTTTTTAGGAAAACCTGAAATATCGCTAGAATCAGATTAAATCTTAGAAAACGAAACCCGCTTGTTTTCTCGCCTTTTCGAGAGCTTTTGATAGGTAGTTAAATCATAAAAATCGGACTTGACCGCGGACCGCTAGGTAGGGGGGTTTTGGGACACCCTGTACTTCCCATTTTGAAAAAAGCAAAATCCCGAATAGCGAACCCTACAGGGTTTTAGGGTACATCCATTTTCCCCTCAACTCAAAAAATCGCAAAAAGCCACAAACTCGTTAATAAAACGGGTGTTTTTTGGCGTGAGTTATATAAGTGAATATACGATTTTGTAAAAAAAAGTTTTGGGGTGACGTGGCGGAATGGGAAGATGGGGTGGGCCTAAGCGACACGAATTCCCAAAGTCGGCCTCACCTCCTGAATGGCACCTGTACGCAGGCCCGTAGGATAGGGTGGGGGCAACTAGAGCACGTTGCCCCCCAAAATCGGTCGAAGGCCGAAAAGTTCCTAAGGGGGAGGACCCTTATGATTTTTTTCGTGAAATTTTTTTGCCTGCGGCGCTTTTTATAGCTATTTTTACGACTATTTTTGCCGTTATGGATCTGATTTTTTCAAAAATTTTGGCTTGCGGCGCTGATTTTGAGGGTTTTTATCCGTCGCCAAAAAATTTTTTGGAGTTGTAACCCCCCACCCATAAAAAAATCGGGGATCGCTACGGCCCTGCCTGTACGTACTCTTAAAACAGTTGCTAATGACATTTTGTCCAAAATATATGGCTATGATCCTTCTTTCAGAAGCCGAATGCAAAATTATCGAAGAAGTCAGGAAACGTCATCAGAGTGCATCATCCAAAGCGCTAAGAATAAATAGTTTTGCTTTGTTTAGATTACTACTTCAACGAATGCCTTTCATTGGTTTATGAAAAAATATTCAGTTCTGGTACCGGCTCATGCTTCTTCGGCATCGATCGTCCTTGGAAAAATTTTTACGTAATTTTTCGATTTGAAAATTTCCGAAGATGCACGGCTGTTCGGGGCTGTGAGGCTCAGGCTCAAAACACCATCTACACGCATCAAGCGTTCGTGGTGAATGATCTGTCGGCCGACTGAGAGAATTATTTTGTATCAAAACGAGTGAAATTAAATGTGAAGATAGAAACTTATCGCGGCGTTCCTGCCTTGTACGTTGGGCAACATTTTCATCCGCTAAACTCCTGCGGACGTATATCCATGGAAAACGGTAACCGTGAAAAGCAATAAAGGGACGTTATCAATGGTATGTTTGATGCGTCCTTATGTGCGTAATGATCACGAGATGACTGCATACAGATCAGTTTTTTGTAATTTGCTATTTTGGACATTAAAAATAGGTTTTTCACGCTTATTTCCGCACTCCCTAGACATCATCGTTGTCGCATCTTTTTATATACATTTGATGTTTTCTAGGTAGACGGATCAAGCCACCGCGATATTATTATTGAAAGCTGCAGTTGTTTTTCAAGGCAATAAATATGCAACCTCGAGCCCTTGTAACCGGACATTTATTCATGCATTTACAGTAATTTTGTTCGAACAGCAAATGAAACAACCTGGCGGGCCACGATTTTGTTTATTTTTTACCACGGATAATTCCTGGGTCCGTAGGGTGATGCAATGTGCAGATCCGGGATTTGGTAGTTGTAGTTGTACGGGCTGTACGACCATGTGTTCAACGCATATCCAACCGGGTATCGGTATCCATAGCCATAGTAGTTATATTGACGTTTCGCCCGGATCAGCGGTCGTTCGGAGGCGGAAAAATGAAAGATAAATTGTAAATGAAAAAGGAAAAATGAAAAAGAAAGTAATTTCGCGATAATTCTGAAAAAATCGATCAGTCGTTAAAATTTAGAAATCACTAAATTTGGCGGGCTTTTGGGTCCATGGCGCATTAATGGTAGGGGCTTATAAAAATGGAAAGAAGTAGCGTTTGTTGGACCAAAATATATTTAATTTTCAAAGTTGCTAGCCAAGAGCAAAATTCGATTGGCGCCAGGTCTAAAATGTCATATTCAGCCAAAATCTCAATTCAATACATTTGGCGCCCTTTTGGGTGTAAGGTGCATTAATGGTAGACGCTTATCGAGAGCCAGCGTCGTTTCATTAATAGACACGCAGCATATTTTTGAACTCACCAAGCTCAGCTAGCGTCATGGCAATCAGAGCAACGAGTAGAAGAACAATTAGAGATAGTCGGGAATTCATAAATACTTTTTTTGGCATCTACACCACCATGATCCACATCCTATTTTATACCCATCCCAGCCAATTCACCCTCACGAAGTACACCCGCGCCCTTATAGTATGTTACCCTTCTAGCCGCCGATGTCCTGGAATTTTAGTCCTTCTTCGCGTGCGTGCACCTTCCTTCCGTGATCCTTCAGTCTTTCGCGATAAAAACCTGCTTTTTCAAGTGTCCGGGGATTTCTGGAGTTGTGGCAGGGCAAGAATTTCTTTATTCGATTAACCTATTCAACTACCAAAAAATAAGGGCGCCGCTGCCTGCGATGATTTTCGAAGGTAAAGGGCGTGGGCGTGTAGATGTTCAATGATGCAAATGGTTGAGTGAGAAAACAGGAGCCGCTGCTCAAACTGCTCAAACTCGAAAGCAGAAAATGGACAAAATCAGTTAATTTTGCAGCGTTACAGGGATTTTAAGCTCTTGAGGGATGGGTTTTTGCTGGAATGGATAGAATTTGGATATTTCGGGTTAAAAAGGTTACTTTTTCTTTTGTGGCCCTGGGATACGGAATAGAAATCACAAAAAAGACGTAGATTACAAAAAACACAGGTAAGCGAAGAGCACAATATAGTTTTTAAAAAACTTAAGATAATTCATTCGGTCAATATCACCGGCTCTCCTTGATTAGTAGAGCCTCCGGATCCTGGTTGACTTTTTCGTATTGGCTAAAATTATGGAATTGGGTTTTAAATGCCTAAAAACTTATTTATAAGCGCTAAGGTTTATGAAGAAGCCTACTTAATGCTCAGCTTTCCCCGATTTTTCGGGAACATCACTTCCTTGAAGCTGGGTAGGATGTCGTCTAGTGATTTGAGCTCGGAGTGGGTGAATACTTTTTCAAGGGACATCATTCGGATGAGGACCATGATGATAAGCTGAAGAGGTTGATTACGAAATTAACAAAACTTAAGTAACTCAGTTACTAAAGTAATAAAATCACTAAACTTTAAATAAAATCAAAATAAATCGTGATTTCTAGTAAAGAAATTAGGTTTCGGAAGGTAGGTAACGAAACGATTAAAAACTTACCATCAATGGGAACGCCATCTTGACTACCGGAGAATACTTGACAACAAATAGCCCGATAAGCGACAACATTTGAATCAGGGTGAAGAGGTGAACACGACGCATTTTCACGCAACGTAGCCACGTGTAGTCGGGCTAAAATATATTCTTTCAAAGCAAAGCAAAACAATCCAAACCTGATGCTTCACCGGCATAAACCAGAGTGCGACTCGTTGGACGAATTGCTGGTGGATTAAGGACACTACTCCCATATACAAGAAGACACCGATGAGGACGGGCATTGGGACGAGCTAAGAAAATGAAATGTACTTTGATAATGTATATCGAAAGGTACTTAAAATGAGATGTATGGGGTATCGAATCAATTGGGAAAAAAGCATACCTTAATCACGGGAGTTAAGAAAACCGAGACACCAATCATCAAATGGGCAAGAATAGCGGTCAGCCGCTGCTCTCTAAAAGTAATCTTTTGATGTTTATGCATTTTAATATTTTTATTAGTGCTCTCTTATGCTCACTTGACACCTAGCATCTGTGCCTTTTCTCCCGGAGCCGCACTCTCGGATTGTACCCTCAAGGAGTCGACGTGCATCACTAAAGGTCTTCTTTTAACTTTTTTTTCTGATATCTGTCTGTCTCAATCTCTCTCCCTCTCTCTCCCTCTCTCCCTCTCTCTCTCTCTCTCTCTCGCTCAAGCTCTCTCTCACTCGCTTTCGCTCTCTTTATTCTTACCGGAAAGCACAGTAGCTGCTACAAAGAATGGCAGCCCCAGGAATGAGCAGATGAGCACGAGAATGGCGATGACGAGCAGGTCAAGGTGGTAGCCGTAGCCTTTCTGCATAAATACTCCAATTCACTGATTTGAAAATTTATACCTTTAAGAGATTATCCTTGCGGTTGACAATGACAGCAGTAATCTGTTGATCCATGACTATCAAAATAGTGTAAAAAGCTGCTGGGAGGATGGCGATCAGAATCAGGTGGAGTGGCACGTCGACGGGGAGCACGAGCCATGAGCGGTCTTTCGTCGGCTGAAGGGCGAGGGCAAATTAAATTTGTAAAACAACAAACCCTGAAGCTGTCCGGGATATTGAGGGTCGGGACTTTGTCTTCCCCAACGTAGTGCGAATAGGCGGTCATAACGACGATAGCTATTAGGACTCCAAAGTCGGAAACGGCGTTTCGGATCTGAAGTTAAAGGATCCTAGGTGCCGCTATTCGTCTTACACTCTTTCGCTCTTTCTCTCTCTCACTCTCTCTATCTCTCTCTCTCTTTCTCACTCCCTCACTCTCTCTCTCTCTCTCTCTCTCTCTCTCTCTTTCTCGCTCTCTCTCGACCAGGCCAAAACCTACATTCGAAGAGAAGAACGGCGACTTCCGGAATTCCTTGAAGGCGTATGTCAGCGCAAAGGTGCCGAACGTCAAAATTATCGACAATTGGTAGACGTCGATCTGGTTGTCGAGCTCCCGGAATTCTCCGAGATCACAGGCTGAACAAAGGAGTAATGGTTGCGCCATTCTTTGCTTACCGCCTTCACGTGTATCATTCTGGAAAAATCCGGCAATTAACGAGTCTTCTGTCGAATTTCCCACAAAGCATTTGCAACCGGAAGCCTGGAGTGCTGCCTGAAAGCGGATCCAGGTATTTTTCAAGCAAGCTATTACCATCTTTGCCGCAGATTTCTTGGCTTCTGTTGCTCCGATGCCGATCAGTTTTTCGAAAGCCTAAAATTTCTTGAGATTTATAACTTTTTAGTTGCAATTTTTGGACTATTCTTGTACATGTTGTACGCCTACCTGGATGATGAAAACGACGCTAATTAGCGTAGCAAAAGCATCTTCAGTAAAGCGTGTGATCAACCCAACAAGTGCTAAAAATCAAATAAATTTAGCTAAACAATTTTTTCGACCAGAAGCATCTGTAGCTGTCAGAATCATCAGCATGATGAAAATCCAGATACCGACTAGTAGGCGGAATTCCAAAAAGTCCCAGCCATTCGCCCTAAACTTATTGCTAAAAGTTTTTCAGGGCAAATTTACCTGCAAAATTCATACAGTATCCCTTCAAACACCAATGTGGGTCCTGTAGCAGACAGAATATTTAGAGGCTGACCGGAGAACATGGCAAATATCACGCCACAAATTCCTCCGCACAGGATCGCTTCAATCGTTGCCTAAACCAAGATGGCAATGGAGTATTTGGCGTCATCAGCTCTTTAAAGCCATTAGAATTTACCATCTCATGATGCAGCTTGACGCCCATTACTGCTCCAAAAGTGATGATTGAGGTCAAGTTGGCAAAGAACAGAAATACTGTAGCTGCGAGGGATTGAGAGAAGCGTCCCCGGAAGAAGTCAGTGTAATCGGAGACGTAGTACGGTAGTTTGGCTCTGTAAAAATTTATCTTAAGGTGTTTTTTGTCATACTTAATGTCAGCTGCAAGTCCTCCAAAAGTGCGCCCAGTTCTGTGGAGGCCGACTGCGTGAGAATCGCCGTCAGTAGCTGTAAAACGGAAATGATTGGATTTAAAGGAACTATAAAGTCAGAATCGGGTCTTTGGACTTGGGGATTTCAGGTATATAACTAGCGTTTGTGTATTAATGGTAGATAATTTCGAACTGTTTTCGGATGCATTTTAGAATCACGAATTTGTTGATCACAGTCTGCCTTTTATATTTGAAACTTACAGCTCCCCTCCAGCGACACCTTGTGCTTGTTCATATGCCCAAGTCGAACTTCCTGAACATGATGTTTAAGTCCAAATTCAAAAAAAAATATAAAGCGTACTTCCGTTCCACCATCTTTCGGCTCCCAACGCGTCTCGGTCGTACATTTCCCAGGCGGAATCACCACCATGTTCGACATGAACTCCTCGATGGCGTCGGCCATCGTGTAGGGCTCTTGGGTGTGTTCAGCGACACGTCGGAAGACCTAGCGTTCAATACGAGTCAACCGCCCGAAAGCAGTATCCGCACCTCATCAGAAAGCAGGGCCCCAACTGTCCGCCCAATCATGACCGCCTCGTTCTCGTAGTTATCCTTGGGGGTGAGGAGCACGAAGATGAACTTGGTGCGCACAGGAATGTCAGGGATTTCGGGGTAGAAGTTCTAAATTTATCTATTGACCTTATTGTCCTGCCATCAATTACCTGAGCCGTTTTCAGGCGTATAAAAGCGCACGTTGGGTGCTCCAGGGAGGCGACGTGGCCGACAAGTATTGCGCACGATTCGGTGTTGTTCGGCAGCTTAGAGACGAGGCGTTTTTCGGACTAAAATACGCTGTGGGTGATGTAGTAAATAGGGCTAACCTGCGATAGGTCTCCGGTAGCATTTCCGGTGTCGATGGTCAGGTGGTTGGTGTCGTTGTGGGTGTGAGTCTAAAAATTTTTAGCTAAATAAGGTTTAAAAGGTGTTTCCTTCTATGTTCTCCGGTAGTTAACCTATTGTAATCGTGTTGAGAAAGAAATATTCAAGCGGGAAAACGACCGAAGCGTTTTACCTCCTGATTCTCCCTCTCTTTTCCATCTTCCTCTGCCTCGTCGTCACTATCAGAGGCTTGGTCGAGTGAATTTCTTCCTAGATATTTGCATCTCAAAGAAGGTATAAAAGCCCTTACTTGATTTCGAAATAGTCATATGGACCTTCGGGGCCCATAGCGCCTTCCTGATGCCTTTAATATTTGTGTCATTGACGAGGGCCCGGTCTTCCCATAGTCTGATGATGTCATCTGAAATAAAAATCGTCTTTTCCATACCTTCTGCTGGGCGTATGAACCTCAAAACTACTAACGCCGTTTCTGACGCCGTGGTTTTCGCGGTTTTATTTTTTTATTGCTGGATTTAAGCTCAAGATATACCTAATTGTCATGTGGATATTTATGTTACCTTTTGTTGGAGGAACCGCCAGAAACAAGTGAACCTATTACGCCACCCTTTTTCCGCGACACTCCTATGCCCCCTGTTCCCGTGTGCTTTCCCTTCCCCCTTGCCGGCGGGCTCTTTTTGATTTCTTTTTCAGTCTTCTTCCTGTCCCCGCAACTCCGTGTTGTCCGTAACTCGTTTGAGTTACAATATTTTATCTGCCAATAAACTCTCCTTGTTCTCTCAATTTTGTTCAGGCACTCAAGGGATCAAACGGTCCGATCGCAAAGCGTCCCTTTGGATCGCGACCAGCACTTTGACAAGAACTCACGCACAACCAGCTCCACAACAACTGGCGATCAAGGATTCGACTTTGTGCTGCTGAACAATGGACGACCCCGACTTCAAGGCGATGCTGAAGGAGATGACCGCCATGATGAAGGCAGGTCAGGAGCGCGAAGCCAAGATGATGGCCGAGCTCGAGAAGATCCGCGCGGAGGCCCCAACGCACACGGGCTCCGTTAGCGAAGATTCAAGCCAAGCACCCAGGCCTCTGAATGCTGTCGAGATCGGCGCCCTAGCCACTCGTATCAGCCGGTTCGAGTATGACCCGTCCCAGGGGATTACTTTCGACAAGTGGCACGAGCGATTCAATAATCTCGTGGCCACCGAACCGCGCATTTCCGAAGCGAACAAAAAGCACCTTGTTCTCGGAATGCTAGACGCTAAAGCATACGGATTGCTGGCGGATCACGCTCGTCCCAAAGAGCTATCCGATGTCGACTACAAAGACATTGTCAAGTATTTGACAGAGATGTTCGGTGAAAAGCTGTCGCTTTTCAGCCGCCGATACCAAGCCTTTCGCGTGGCGAAAGAGGTCGACGAGGACATGCGCTCATACGCAGCTCGCGTGAATAAGCTCTATGAACAGGGCCGCGTCAAAGAGATGAAAGAGGATGAAGAAAAGTGCCTACTTTTCGTCGCTGGATTATCCGATCAAGCGCATCGCGATATACGCAAAAAGCTTATCCGTATCCTGGAGTCAAAGGATGACGTGAAGCTGGACGATTTGCTGCGCGAGTGTGACTTGCAAACCACTCTGAACATGGATGTTGTTGTCGAGCAACATGCCAATATCAATCGGATCCAAGCATCGGGATCGCGAAAGACGTGGAAGGAACAGCGCGGCTGCACCTCTAGCAATGGTCGGCCCCAGTCTACCTCCAATGATCGCCCCCGAGTTGACAAGCGGAATGACATCTGTCATAATTGTGGGAGGCGCGGACACTGGCGTACCGAGTGTCGCGCTGGAAGTTCTGAAAAGAACCAAGGAAATAATTTCTCTAAGCCGAGAGATTCAAAAGCCAATAAACATTGGAAGCCGAAGGTGAACGCGATAATTCACATCAATGCTGTCGATTCGACGCGCAAAGACGTTGAACTTTCGATCGATGGCATCGCTTTTACTTTGCAGTTGGACACGGGCGCTGCCGTAACGCTGATTGACGAAGTTTTGTGGACTAAATTGAATTGTCCGCCACTTCAACCTTCTGATATACAACTACGTGCCGCCAATGGTGGGCCAATTGAAGTGAAAGGTTGCTTCGATACCACTTTCAAAGTGAAAGGCATTGAAGGTCAAGGCAAATGCTTTGTTACCAAGAACATTCGCTTGATGGGGCTTGATTGGATTGATCAGCTGCCACAGTTCGCTTCTTATTCTGATGAGTTGTGTGTTAACAAGGTCACACTCAAGCAATCTGCACTCGAAGAAGAGTTGCTCAAAAAGTTTCCGAACGTATTCAAGGACGGCTTAGGCTTGTGCACAAAGGCCAAAGCTGAGCTTCAGCTAAAGCCTGACGCGCAGCCAATATTTTTGCCATTTCGACGTGTTGCATTTTCAATGGAAGCTGCCATTGAACAAGAGATCCAGCGACTTGTTGATTTGACGGTGCTGAAACCGGTCACGTACAGTCAATGGGCTGCACCCGTCGTACCTGTCAAAAAGAAGGACGGTTCCATGAGACTTTGTGGAGATTTTTCTACCGGCTTGAACGCAGCTTTGGAGGATTATCACCATCCACTCCCCACTGCTGAAGATATTTTCACCAAGCTGAACGGTGGAAAATTTTTCTCACAGATTGACTTGAAGGATGCATATTTGCAGATAGAGGTTGAGGCTGAAAGCCAAGAATACCTAACTATCCACACTCATAAAGGCTTGTACCAATATCAACGTTTGATATTCGGTGTGAAGACTGCTCCTGGTATCTTTCAGAAGATAGTGGATAATTTGATCGCAGGCCTGGACGGGACCGCTGCCTACCTGGATGATATTCTCATCACCGGCCGTACCCAGGAGGAGCATGACGACAGGGTCCGTCGTTTATTTGAGCGAATCCACGAGTTTGGATTGCGCGTCAAAATGGAGAAGTGCGCTTTTGGCAAGGCTTCGGTGAAGTATCTTGGTTTCATATTGGATTCACAAGGCCGAAGACCGGATGCCCAGCGTACGGCTGCGATAGCAAACATGCCACAACCGACATGTCTCAAGGAAGTTGAAAGCTTCTTGGGCATGGTCTCGTTCTATCAGTCATTCATTCCTCGTATGCGGCAAATGCGCGCCCCGCTTGACGAGTTGAAAAGGAAAGACACGAAGTTTGTCTGGTACGAGGGCTGCGAAAAAGCTTTTCAGTCGCTCAAGGATATTGTAATATCTGATCTCTTGCTTTGCCACTATGACGCCAAGTTGCCAATCGTCGTCGCCGCTGATGCAAGCGAGCAGGGACTTGGCGCGGTCATTACGCACAAGTTTGCGGATGGTTCGGAGAAAGCCATTTCAGATGCCAGCAGAGCATTGACCGTGGCAGAGAAGAATTACAGCCAGATCGAAAAAGAAGGTTTAGCCCTCATTTTCGCGATTCGGCGCTTCCACCGCTACATCTATGGAAGGCGTTTCGTACTATTGACGGATCACAAACCTCTTTTACCCATCTACGGGTCGAAAAAAGGCATTCCGCAGCACACCGCAAATCGATTGCAACGGTGGTGCTTGTTTTTGAACAACTACGACTTTACGATTGAATATCGTAATACAACCAAATTCGGTCAAGCGGATGCACTTTCCCGTCTGATTCCGCCGAGAACTGAGCCCGATGAAGACATCGTTATTTCGCAGATAGAAATCGATGTTGCGGCAGTTTTCGAGGAAAAATTGAGCCAAGTCCCAATTTCGCAAAAAGAAATAGCAATTCAAACGGAGCAGGACCACACACTTGGTGCTGTGATTGAATATATCAAAGTTGGAACTTTTCCAGACTGTTTGCCAGGCTCCGCTCTGTACGCATTCAAAAGTCTAGTTCCCAACCTGTCGATACATCAAGGTTGTTTATTCTTGAAAGAACGAATTGTTGTCCCGAAAAGACTTCAATTGCGTGTCCTGAAAATGCTCCATGAAGGACATCCTGGTCAGACCAGAATGAAATTGCTCGCGAAACAGTATGTGTACTGGATTGGCATGGATACAGACATCGACCGCATTGTGAAAGAATGCGATGGCTGCCAAAAAGCCCAGAAGATGCCTGTGAAAAGTGAATTGACCCCGTGGCCTATACCCAATCGTCCAATGGAGCGCGTGCACATTGACTACGCCGGCCCCATTGATGGTCGAATGTACCTGGTATTTGTTGATGCCTACTCTCGTTGGCCAGAGATCCACGATTGTAAGGTCGCAACCAGTCGTACGACGATTGCCCATTTGAGAGATATTTTCTCTAGGTTTGGAGATCCGGCAACCCTTGTTTCGGATAACGGTACTCAATTTACTTCAAAGGAGTTTGAAGAATTTTGCACTGAGCGTGGAATCAAACATCTACGTACGCCCCCATTTCACCCTCAATCGAATGGTTTGGCTGAACGTTTCGTTGACACATTCAAGCGAGCTTTGAGCAAAGCTCCCGGATCGCTCAACGCCGAAACACTGCAAATATTTTTGCGCAGTTACCGGTCCACACCGTGCCCTTCTTCGCCGAAACAGCTATCTCCGGCTGAAATGTTTATCGGGAGAAAGCTTGTTACTCCTCTTGTTCGGTTGGCTCTGTCCAAGAGCAACGACAAGGCCTGTCTGAAAGTCGCTCTTCAAAAAGAGGGGAAGACGACGATGGTTGAGCAATTTAACCGGAGACATGGTGCCCGAAAACGATCATTTGAAGTCGATGCCAATGTCTGGGTGCGCGATTATCGCAAGCCAAACAAACCAGCTTGGATCGAAGGTCGTATTTCGAAAGTACTTGGTCGTTCCATGTACGAGGTTTCTAACACCTCTGGAGACATTTGGCGCAGGCATGCCAATCAACTGAGAAATCGCTATGTTCGCGATTTGCTCGGAGAGATTCTAGATGAGTTCGATCTACCTAGAATCCCGGAAGTCAATGTGCAGGGTCCCAACCCACCTCTTGACCGAGCGTTTGTGCCACCCGGAGACGACAAGGATGCCGCCAATAATGCCACTCCCCATTCCGTACCCAAGTCGCCAATTCCCAATGTTCACCATCATCCCGCTCAATCGCGTAACACGACTCCCGCGAAGTCGTCGCCAAGGCCAACAAGATCGGCAACCCCTCGAAACGGACCACCGCGTGACGAAGGCCATGAGCAAGCAGAGGCGTCGCCTGAACGACCCGCTCCACGACCAGATGGAGATATGCCCGCTGACGAACAGCAAGCCGCTCAAGCTCGTCCCATCAAGCAGAAGAAGCTCGACGAGCTCGGCCCAATCATCCAAGGAAAACGTCACCGCCGTCCGCCCACTCGTTACGAAGACTGATGTGCCGTCAAGTATGAAGTGCCCCGTTCCACGTCTACACGACCACCGCCGTCAAGCACTTCATCAGAAGGGAGATGTTGGAGGAACCGCCAGAAACAAGTGAACCTATTACGCCACCCTTTTTCCGCGACACTCCTATGCCCCCTGTTCCCGTGTGCTTTCCCTTCCCCCTTGCCGGCGGGCTCTCTTTGATTTCTTTTTCAGTCTTCTTCCTGTCCCCGCAACTCCGTGTTGTCCGTAACTCGTATGAGTTACAATATTTTATCTGCCAATAAACTCTCCTTGTTCTCTCAATTTTGTTCAGGCACTCAAGGGATCAAACGGTCCGATCGCAAAGCGTCCCTTTGGATCGCGACCAGCACTTTGACAAGCACTCACGCACAACCAGCTCCACAACACCTTTAAAAATTCGGTAACTACGAAATTTTGTCGTCTTTTTCGGTTCAGCACGAATTCGGCACCTCTGATTCACCCAGCGACCATTGAGCACACACCCAACCCCCCGCTATTTTTACTCTTTTGCTCCACGAAGCCGCCCTGTTCACCATTTCCCAACCCCCACACGTGCCGCCCAAAGATACGGATAATCAAATCAAGTGATCGACCACCGACTCATTTGCAAATAGCACTTGCGGAAAGGCAAACTGACCAAAAACTGATGAAAGAGATTCCCGCGTGGAGTCAAGGACCACGACGCCACGGCGCAGGCAATTCCGAGCCTAAATCGAGGGTGAACTTTTGGTCCTGGTGATGCCATCACCAACCTGGAGGAGTCCTTGAAAACTCAGAAGGGTGATGTGTGGCTTGGAAAAACGTGTGCCACCGCCTTCAACGACTTGCTCGTACTTTATCCATCTGAAAGGGGAGGTTATAAAAGGTTACGAGTGAACTAATTTTTTAGATAAAATCTCGAAAACGACATAAAATTGCGCAAAGCGCTAAGTCTTGTAAATCGCCAAGATTCAGATTGGGGATGTTTTTCATAAACACATGCATGCAAGAGTTTATTTTTATTTTGGCCAAATTCGAAACTCGTGCAAAAACATTTTATCTAAGTTTTAATTTTGTCTTAACAGGCAGAGATTGCACTTTTCAACACGTTTAAATACGAATGTTACAAAAAATTAAAGTGGCCGAAATTTCACTACAACGCAATTTCAATTTTCACCGGTTCCGATGAAAAATTGTCTACAAGATAATGTTCGACAAGATGGTTTCCGAAACAAAAAGGTTGCGAGAGAATTACGATTAATGCGAGGCTTAAACTCCGACCAAATACAAACCAACAATTTTGGCTTTATCTTACCTCGAAGCCTCATGCCAACTCCTGATCTTCCCATCATACTGCAGCTTGAGCATTTCGGAATATATAGGAGGCGCTGCATCCTCATTATCATGTCGTTCATACAGACGACGAACATTGTCGATAGCACCTTGAATGCAATTTATATTTACTTTCCAAAAAATGGCCTTACTATCCGGATGCTGTCCCAGCGATATCGATTGCGACACGGATATTGGATCGAGGAGCAGATCGGCTGAAATATCGTATTTTGGCATTGATCCGATGCGTCAAGAGGTGTAATGCGAAGGGGTCATTCCGGTGGAGGTGCGGAACTAGTTCTTGGCTGATTATCCCCCGGCAGGACAGGTCGGGGATGCTTGGGAACAACATTATAATGTGCTTGTTTGGGGGGATATTTGATTTTTTTTCTGGGGTATTGAGAGTTTCCGGCCTCACACTTTTCGATATCTATTCATGTACTCTTCAAAAGCCAGGTGATATAAGAAATAAACCCGAAGATATCTGCTATGAAACGTTCCACACAGGGCTACGTTCAAGGCAACTGCACGACACGGCTGTGGATTTCCGAATATGAACACAGCGCAGCGGCGACACGCAACGCGCGCCCTATCTGCCAACTGTATCCAGATCAGCCGAGATATAGATAGTGTCTCGATAGCGTGGGAGAGCAGACATGAAGGGTCACAACATTTATTCTGAGGATGTCCCCGGTGGGGTGACACCTCGGTGATGTAAATGAGGACTGGGAAGCCGGGGTCGGAGCGGATGACTGAAGCAATCACAACGAGAAATGGGGGCTTTATATACCAGGGAACGTAGGGAAATCGACATGGTAATGAGGGGAAGGCATGGTGATTAGCTTGTTCTTCCGGTCATTCAACATGCGCATGCAGTCGCGGGATCGCGACACTCCCGGGGGACGAGGCTTCAGCGGCAGTAGTCGAACGGCCTGCAGACGACCCGCGGTGGCAGACATCGCTGCTTCTTGACTCGTCGCCACGCACGTCGTCAGCCTTGAACACGATGGAGTTGCCCTTGATCACGCGAAGTTGCCCTGGTACACGATGACGTTGCCCTTGTACACGATGAAGACGCCCGTGATCACGAGAAGACGCCCTGGCACACGTGATGTTGCCCTTGAACACGAGAAGACGCCGGCCGCCTTGATCCTCGCGGTGGCGAACGGATGACGGACACGGAATACATCAGATGGACACGGGTACGTGGCCCTCCCGGGGGCGGCGTTCAGCATCACGTCCGAGTAGATGTCGACCGGGATCCCACGGGGCACCACATGTCTCGATAGCGTGGGAGAGCAGACATGACGGGTCACAACATTTATTCGGAGCGTGCCCCCGGTGGGGTGGCACCTCGATGAAGTAAATGAGGACTGGGAAGCCGGGGTCGGAGCGGATGACTGAAGCAATCACAACGAGAAATGGGGGCTTTATATACCAGGGAACGTAGGGAAATCGACATGGTAATGAGGGGAAGGCATGGTGATTAGCTTGTTCTTCCGGTCATTCAGCATGCGCATGCAGTCGCGGGATCTAAAGGTCACCGGTTCGATCCCGGTTCGGGGCACCACATGTCTCGATAGCGTGGGACGTTCAAGGCAACTGCACGACACGGCTGTGGATTTCCGAATATGAACACAGCGCAGCGGCGACACGCAACGCGCGCCCTATCTGCCAACTGTATCCAGATCAGCCGAGATATAGATAGAAAGACGCGCGTGTGCGTTGCGTGTCGCGAAATATGTAGGAAAACAATCGTGGAAAGTCTTAATCGTGCCTTATACCGCCCTGAAGAACCAGCGCGCGTCGCGTGTCGCGTCGACGGCAAAAATTCATAAGATATCTATAGCCAAAAAAACTCTAGCCAAGCCCACCGCGTCCCTTAAAAAATTGCACACGCGCGTTGTGTGTTGCTGCACATTAAAATCCAACTCTCAGGCTTTGAGCTTTACCATGCTCCTTCACCGACGCCAACCGCCGCATCGACGGCCTTTTCGAATTAATCATCGTAAAATCAGTGCAAAGAATCGAAGTCTAATTAGTTTCGGGTGTCAAATAGTGGCGCGCGATGTGTGGAGCGTCAGCACGCCCTGGTCGAGAGTGTCCTCCCACCAGGGTTTTCTCCAAAAAATGGATCGTCTCTGGGAAACAGGTTATCCCTCCCAAATGGGCCGGGCACTTTTTGGAACCCGAAAAGGTTTCGTAGGTGGTATGTTGTTGGTGATATATGATGAGTAAAACTGGTAAATATTTGGAAAGCGTTTCGTGTCCAATAATATGATTGATTTAAGCTATTAAATTTGGGTGTTTTCGCCAGGGAGTGGTAATTTTTTAAAGGGGTGTGTAAGACATGACTATAGATATAACTACGTTAGATAATTCCTAACTTGATACGGTTACGCGATACGCGTTGCAACCGCTTGATATGAGGATGGCGTAATAAGTTACGCGATGGAAAAGCTGAGCTCGAGCTCGTGCCTAACACGGGTCTACGCCTTGCCTGGCCTTTTAAAGCGACCAGAACCTGAAAAATTCACTCCCCCACCTGTAAATATGATATATATATATAACTTTAAATGTCACCGGGAATTCACAAAATAAGGCGGATTTTCTTCCCGATCCTCGGTCGTGTCATCCATCGCGTTATCCAGGAAGTTCCCAACCCCATTGTTTATTAGAAGTTTTTGATTTTTTATTATCAGGAATCGAGGCAGGCTTCTTCTAGCCAGGACGAGCTAGAATGTCAAAAATGTTGGGTTAGGGCCCTTATTTTCGGGTGTGAAAGCGCGACCACTGGCTACGCGTGAAGACCATTCGATCAAGCCCGCGCGTGGGGGCGCCAAATTATTGTTATCAACCATGGTCTCGCAGGGATCGGGGGCCGGATATTGCATCCGGTGGTCCGGAACAGTTTTTGTCGAATAAATAGGACAGCTGTGGAGCAAAAAAATGAAGAATGGATCACCAAAAGTGTGAAAACATATTTTCTACGACTCCCACTTACCTTGGAACTCAAAGGATCGCGAGTGACGCAAGACCATGGTTGCGCTTTTTAGCCAAGGGTCTTGTAGCCTAGTAAATCGTATTTTGTCAGTAAATGTTCATCGACGGACACACAACTACCCGCGGTAGCCAAAACGCAGCCATCATTATGCAAAGCCGGGCGATGGCCGACCGCCCGATCGCCGTGATGGGCAAAAAGTTTCGAAAGTTTTGGTTGAAAAGTGTCGATAAACATGGGGATGGTGGTTTTGTTTCCTAGGGTAAAAGAAGTGGCGTGTTAGTGTCAATTGTTTCATTTTTTAGAGAATCAAATTATTAAGTTAGTTTCAAGAATCGGGGATTTTTTAACTAACAGAATGTTGTAGCCATTTTCCTGATGGATTTAAACCACAAAAACATCAATGAGCAGCAAGTTTTAACTGATCGGTTACGATTTCTCCTGCAAACGATCACAAATCACTGCCACAAACTGTGATCTCTGTCAAGGGTTTGAGGGCCACTTTCTGACCCCACGACATCCAGCATCACCAAGTTTCCGCGCGACCGCAAATTTTGCATTTTCCGAACCCTGCCGCGTGACATTTCGGTTCTCGCGCCAGGGCGAGCGGATCAGAAAGTTAGCGCTTTTTCGGGAAAGGCAGAAGAGCAGTGAACTGTGCTGCAGCATAGAATTCGGGTTTGGTCTCAGCCTGGCCAAATAAAAAATTCCAAATGCGAAATCGCACCTGGCTAGGGCAAGCTAGAAACTACACAGCATTAGTACGGTGTGCAAGGCTGGAATCCATAAGTACGATTTCCTCAGGAGTAAAACCTCGAAAATACAAAAACAACCAAACCATATGAAGCGCCGGAACTCCTTCAAAAAATTTCCCGAAAAATCACAAATTACAAATTTTCACATTTAAATCAACCTAAAAAAACTCGAAAATTTTGAACCTTGGTAGGTTCGGCCAAAAATATGGACTGGCAGGAGCCGAAGTTTTCTTCTATGGATTTTAAGACCATTAAACACCCTGAACCCACGTTTATAAATTGTCCTCGACCGCGACTGCGTCGACTTCACCGGCAGCAACTCCGGAAATAGGCTCTTCCTCCGATTCTTCATCCGAGCACATCCCCGCTGCGACGACTTCGACAAGTCCAGCAGCGACATCTCTCGACAACAATAACCCAACGCTGAAATCAATGCTCCCCCACCACACATTCCAATGCACCTGACCGAGATGGCCGTTCCAAATTCGGCTCCACCTGGCCTAGGATGACCCCGAAAAAGTGGTCTTTCTATATTTGGAGACCCCGAGTGACATCGGCAGCTGCAAAAAGAACCTCTTCGCGTCATGGTCCCTTTTTGGGAGGTGAACTTTTGCCCCGGCCGGCTGCTAACTATGCGTTTTGCGGAAAACGGGGACAGGGACTCCCGTTTTTGTCTGATAAGGCCGCCAGAATTCACGTAGCTGCGGCGAAGGCCGTCAAATCAATCATTTTGGCTAGGTTTTAGGGTCTCTTTGAACCCCAAATTTGCACGACTGGTGCTCTGAAACGACCATTTTATTATTAAATAGGATAAAGCTGTTGTTTCGTGTTTTTTATACATTACCGGGTCGATTTTAATTTAACGGACATCAGTTTCTTGATTTTGCCCCGTTAAGTATGCTTTAAGTATGCGTGTAATGATCTATATCTGTCTCGCTCTCTCTCCCTCTCTCTTCTCTCTCTCGCGCCCGCTATCTCCTCCTCTCGCTCACTCTCTCTCGGTCTCTCTCTCCCTCCCTCTCTATCCTTCGTAACTGCCAAATTTAGCTTGATGCTCCATCATTGGTATCCACAGCCGAATTTCACAGCAGCAGAACTTGTCTTCGAAAAGGAGCACCGATTTTTACAGCCGGTCTGGGATTATATAAAGGTAAGTAGAAATCCCGATACGCATTGATCTGGCGTATTTTCCAAGTAATTTATTGTTTTCAGCCTAACAAAATTTAGGATGGAAACGAGCACATCCTCTCCCCCCCTCTCTTCCCTCCATTCTACGCCCTCAGCATCGACTATGCTTTTGTAGCTGTATTTACATGTAAGTGGTTTTTTCAATTTTTTTAAGGCTAGAAATTTAGTCATCGACCTCGTACTCTGTGACGTACCGTTCTTCAAAAATCACAAGATCCAGAAAGACCGGAAAGTTACGTGGGATCTGATCAAGAAATCGCTGTTCTTGCAGATGTGGAATCAATTGCTGTGGTGGGTTCGGGAGCGTAGTGACCGGTCAGAAATGGGCAGAAATTGGGATTTTTAATGGAGGCGATAGGCGATTGGCGTTGATTCACATAGACGCAGACTGACGACAAGAGAGTATTTTGATCAAAATTTAAAGCTCTGATAAGGCCACAATTTTCCAAAAAAGCATGAAATAACTGCGCAGTCTTGGTTCTAGAATACCTTTGAAATTAAGTTCGAAAACAGGCAAGGTCGGGCGGATTTTGAGTAGAATTTTAATTTTTGCAAAAATTTAGTTCTTTAGGATATATGAATTTCGTAAACGCCCATAGTTTTGAGTTCAATTACCAACTATCTTTTCAGGATCTACCCATTGGCGCTCGTTCAGCTGATTTGGGTACCACCAATCCACCTGCCCCCACTTGCTCCAACCGTCTTCGAATTCGTCACCCAGCTTGCATTCTGCTTCCTGGCCTTCGACTTTTCGTACTTTTGGTTCCACTTCTTGTTCCATAAGGTATGTTTGTTAATTGGCGTGTAATGGAATATATGCCTCCTAAGCTCATCTCCTCAGTTAGATCTTTTTGATGCCGAGCTCAAGCTCATCTTTTAGGTCAAATTCTCTATCGATGGTGCCACTCGGTCCACCATATGTACTCCCTCACCATTCGCAGCTGCTGCTCAGCACCTCCACCCCTTCGAGCTCTTCTTCGTCGGTACCTTCATCACTGGTAAGTACACCTGCCGTAAAAAACTACCCAACTACAGTAATCCCTGGGTATTCCCACGCACTGTCTAACATACTATGCTTGGTTCTTCATCGCGCAGGCCGTGTCTTATGAGGTAAATAACTTCAGTATTGTTTAAGGTGTTTTAAGGTACATCTTGGCTACGACTTTCCATTTGCGCTCCATCGATTCCTGTTCTTCTACTCCGGGGCGCCGGCGCATGACATGCACCACCTGAGGCCGTTGACCTGCTTCGAGCCGTGGTTCAACTACTTGGATCGGTTGGATGGGTGAGAGATTTGACGTTTTTAAAGGGATAGTAAAGCGGAAAGTCGACCTTACCGGTGACTGATTATCGACAAACCAAAAAAATAACGAGAAACAACGTGGAGCGGCATTTAAAGAAGTTGAAACTACTTTTCCCGACATGTTGAACTCTGGTAAATGTCGAGATCTAGTCATCATCTGGGGTCGATGCTCGCACTTCACAAAACCTTTAAATGCTCTGTAATGTCTGTATAATGCAGTAATTTGCATTAAGAATGCATTTAAAAGCCTTGATTCAGGCTACCACATCACTTACGAGGACCTGAAGAAAATGGCCGAGGAGAAGAGCAAGCGCTTCGGCCTCTACAACAAGGAAGAGGAAAAGGGATTGGAGAAAATCAACTAGGCAGTGTGTCGTACCGGTAAATGGTGATTAAAATGTTGTATCTGAGGTTTTGAACAGGGGTATTACAATTGGCACATCGTTGCAATGGTGTCTGCCAAAAATTTGGCTTTGAATTTCTGGAGGTAGTGGCCGTCCTGCTTGAAGCAGACGCCGAGGGCTCGGGATTCTAGGAGTCGTTGGCGGACCCATCTCGCGGCTTTTGCTTCGACGTCGTCACTTTTGGAATCGTCGAGAATCTAGAGATAGCTTTAAAGGGATTGGCAAGGCCAAATTTTGATTTGCACATAAATTCTTACAATTGTTAGGAATTTTAAAGATGGAAATCAGTCGTAGTAATAGTAGTAGTACGTAGCAGTACGTATGTCGCAGTACGTAACAGTACGCAACGCTACAGATCTACGCCAACAATCCAAACGAACAAACCAGTTCCTCGGCACCGTCAAATTCGGCCAGCATCTCCCTGACGATCTGGTCCTCGATTAGGAAGTCCTTGCCCGAATACGCCATCACGATCTGAAGCGCGCAATTGGCATGACAGGCAAGATTGGAATCTAAGCAGATGGCGCCGGCCCCGAAAAGCCCCCCGAAGAAGGCTTTGACTAACCGGTGTTTTCGAATTTTCGTTCAGCTCCTCGACGTAGGGCCGTTGTTTTTCGAGACCAAACGTGCGCATACTTTGTACGCAAACGGCGGCAATTTTTCCGGTTTGGGTTTTGAGGCGCACGATGCGTTTGTAGACTGAAAAATGTAAGAGGTTGAATTCCGGTTTAGAAAATACCGTGGTATAAAATTGGGTGCATGATCATCTTCTGGACGGACCACAAATTGACATTGTAAATCCAGGAGGCGAACTGAAAATTGATAAAATATCACACAAAAAAAAATTTCGGAAAAGGATGAGAAACAGAGAGAGAGCGATGGACGAGAGAGAGAGAGAGAGAGAGAGAGAGAGAGAGAAAGAGGAGAGCTAAAGGGAAAGAGACAGTGAGAGAGAGAGAAAGAGTGAGAGTGAGAGAGAGAGAGGGAGCTAAAGAGAAAAGCACAGTGAGAGAGAGAGAAAGAGTGAGAGAGAGAGAGAGCGAGAGAGAGAGAGAGAGAGAGAGAGAGAGAGAGAGAATGCTTGCACCCACTTGTATGATAAAAAACGGCTTGATCCCCTGTGCATCTGAAGTCCAGAGGTATTTATTAACACGAGTCCTTGCGCCTGCTCTTGATTCTTCGCACATATTGCCATTGCATTTTCCGAGCCACGACTGTGCCCTAATTTGCAATAAATCAAAATACAAATTATTTTACCCACCGACAAACACAATCGGGCCCTCGATTTGTAGATGATCCAGCATCGCTTGGAGAAAGGCGTTACGATCTTCGTTTTCAAAGCCGATTTTCTTATGCTCTAAAGGAATGGTTTTAGTTGTAACTATTGAGGTATCTACGTTACCAGATAATCCATTAAACGCACTTACTTTGTGTATATCCATGACCGGGCATATTCATAGCTATCACGCGTATCCCGGTCTTCTTCAAGTAATGCGCGATGTATTTAAAATCATTGTGAGATCCCGGGGATCCATGGATCGCGAAGATCGTACCTTCATGGGATCCCAAAGGGAGGGTATCCTAAAAGTGCAACGTATTGTCAGAAAATTTATGGTATCCTACCTGCCAAATAGCCTTAATCGTCACTTCATCACCGGTCCGGGTGGTGAAGTTGATTTTACCCTCATTCAGGTCAAGATCATTGGTTACGGTCGGCCATTTTTGCATGGCTAAAATGGGTGTGAAGCGGGATAGATAGAGAGATTGATAGAGAGAAAGAGCGAGAGAGAGAAAGAGAGAGAGAAAAGAGAGAGAGAGAGAGAGAGAGAGAGAGAGAGAGAGGAGAGAGTGAAAGAGCAGGCTCAAGTCGGGCCCCTATCGGAAAACGTGCAAAATCATTTTTAATTTCTCCTGGCGCTCAGAATTTTCAACAAGCGAATTCTCGACAATTTAGACAATTTGTGGGAAACGAAAAGAACCTTCCAAAACTACTCGAGAAGCGTGGTTCCGCTTAGAGGTGAAGCATCGGGACGCTCTGATTCACAGAAATAGAAAAAGGCAGAGTGAGAGAGAGAGAGAGAGAGAGAGAGAGCGAGAGATACAGAGCAGCCCCACACAACAAACATGCCAAGGAGGAAGGTTCACGTGAAAAGCCCTCCACAAATCGAACTGGAGGACGAAAAGCGCCACAAAGCGCCGAGACCGACAGACAGATGCAAAAAAAACGGACAGACGAACATCGGCCCGCGAAATGGACCATTTCGGCGGACGGGCACAATTTTCCCAATTTTTCCCTCCATTCCGCCCGCAAATCGCCGCGATCCGTTTGTCAACTCCAGAAAAAAGGCAGAAAGAAAATTGAGGGGAACTGATGGGGGTTTCCTCCAAGAAAAAAAGTTGAGAAATGGGGGTCGGTGACCAGTTGTTGGACGTCATGGCCTTGGTTTCGGATCATTGCGGTCATAAAATTTTGATTAGAACTCAAAAGCTCGTGCTAAAAGTGATCTTAGGGATATCGGAAAGCTAAAGTTACTAGCTCACGTTCAAAGTTCACGTGTAGGGACAACGCCAAAATCCCGACATACAAAATTTCTACAGCCAAAACCACCATAACCAAATTCCCGACAGCCAAAACCTCTACCGCCATAATCCTGACATTCAGAAACCCCAGATTTTAAAACCATTTGGGGGTCGGACGACCGGAAGCATCACATTTTCGCCGTCGCGATCTTGGCTGTCGGGATTTTTGACTGGAATTCTAAAAATTCATATGGAATCCATATACAGTCAAGCTCATAGCTTGACTTGCCAATTCCTTTAATAACCTTTGAGAGCGGCGATAAATTCTTTTATTCCAAAATCGATCGGTTTTTTAAATCATTCCTCCTAAAAAGGAGTGCGCCCCCCCAAAAAAAAACTCAAAAACTTGGATGAGGATCAATATGAGCCGGCGGAGAAAGTAGGGAAGAAATGGAATCGAATCGAGGTGAGGGGCGAGGGAATAAATCGAGGTAAAAAAGAGGGGGGCGGAGAATGAGGAGGTGGCGATCCACCATTCCGCCCTTACCTTCACCCATTCTCTCCGATTCCCATAGCTTGCTATGGATGCACAAATAGGAAAGAAAGGTTTGAGCTTTTGATCGCGAATTTTTGGAGAGAAAGAGAGACAGAGAGAGAGAGAGAGGAGAGAGAGATAGAGAGAGAGCGAGAGAGAGAGATAGAGAGAGAGAGAGAGAGAGAGAAAGAGAGAGAGGAAGAGAGAAATAGAAAGAGAGAGATAGAAAGAGTGGGAGAGAATGAGAAGGAGCGCGAGAAAATGAGAAAGAGAGAGAGGGATTTAACGGGAGTGAGAGAGAGAGAGACAGCGAGAGAAACAGCGGGTGGGGAGAGGGAGCGAGGATGGCCATCTGTGATGATTATTTTTCCTAAGTGTAGGGGTTCCTCTTTAGCGTCAAAATTAACTATCGAGAGGTGGCAAATTTATTCAGTAACGACACTGCACGAATTCACGAATTATTCCTTCATTGAGTTTGTCTTCGATACACGTCCGAGAGGGTGTTGTGATCTCAACACCCCGGGGGTGCTCTTGGTAGCGATGTACTATACGCTTTACGATCATCACATTTCCATCAACCCGCCGGATGCGATAATAGGTGTGGATGTGGTCGTAATATTCTGACAACTGGAGCGTTGGGTACTGCTCGAAAAATGCGAGGTGTGCCCCGCCCGGGAGGCGGGCGGTACTGCTGATGTCGATGGCGGCAATTTGACGGTTGCCACGCAGCCATTCGTCAACAACAATATGCGCGTATTCATCTAGGGATACCCCGTTTAAGAGCAGCCGCATCGCTTTCAATAGGCCGAGGACATCACACCAGACTACAACTCATAGATCCAATGTCCTAGTGCCAAATCCGCATGGCCTGGGGGCAGATTAAAAGGCGGTTCGCGAGAGACCCGAACTGGCTTGGTACAGTTTTTTCGACGCTGTTTTTGGCGCCGTCTGAAAGAGCGTGGTCGAATTAGTAAGGCCGCACTATTTTGACAATTTTAAAAGTTGATTTTTGGGTGTGACACTTCATTTTTGCTCGGTCGACCAGGGCGCATAAAGGAAAAGGAGAGAGAGCGAGAAAGCAGAGAGAGAGAGAGAGAGAGAGAGAGAGAGCGAGAGAGTGAGAGCGAGAGATTGAGATAGCCAATGAAAACTGTTTAGGTTTTTCTATTCGTGCGTGTACACATTATCTAGTGGCGATAATTTATTCAATAACCAGCGTGTACAAATTCGCGAATCACACTTGCATCTGCTCCCCCGAGGGATTTTCGTTTCAGCGGGGGTTGTAATCCTGATGGACCTGCCATCCCCGCCACGCTCAACAATCAGCACGCCACCATCATCGCGCCGGATTCGGTAGTATGTCGGGTCATGCAGCGGATCGGACCCTTCGAGTCTTGGAAACTGCTCGAAGAATTGGAGGTGAACCAGGTGAGTGGAAGGGGCAAACAGGGTCAGATCAATCGCCGCCACTTCACGCTCGTGTCGGTGCCATTCTTCAACTACCAGGTGAGCGTATTCATCAACAGGTACCCCGACGTTCCCAGTGGCCGTTAGTCGCATTCGGGGTACCTTTAATCCCAGGTATTCCCGTGGCGTATTTGGAAGAATGGCATCGAGGGAATTGACGGACGCGTTTAGCCACTCGGTTAGTTCTGGGCTCTCCGGCGTTTCAAGCCTATATAACCTGACCTCATCGTATTTCCCGATGGGCTTGTGGCGTTGTAACACCGACAGTGTGGCTACCCGATTGGTGAGCACTAAATTTTCGCAGTAAATATCGATATCGTCGGGCAACGGGAATACTGTATAGAAAGCCCTGACCGTGGAGTTGTGGAAAAGTAGTTTAAAGGCTTGCATGCGATGAATTCTTCGCTTGTACTCCCCGTACCGTTCTCGTATTACGACTTGCCACGAAGGGCCCAAAAGCTCTTTGAGATCCACGTTCCAATATTTGTTCCCACAAGTTTTGGCAGCTTTCAGCACTGCCTTGCTGATGGTGGCCGTCCTCAAGTAGCTTCTAGGGTCCATATTCCGCAGAATGTTGTGTTGGACTTCAATGGGGAAGGCGCTGAAGTCCATCGTCTGAAAATAGAAAAAGATATGGGTTAGAAAAGGGCGAAAAGATGTGGGCCGAGCTTGAAAGAGAGAGAGAGAGAGAGAGAGAGAGAGAGAGAGAGAGAGAGAGAGAAAGGGAGAGAGAGAGAGAGAGAGAGGAAAGAGAGAAAGCGAGAGTGATATACAGGGTGAGGCATATATATCGCTACACATTCCGAGTCCCTCAAAAAAGTATTAAAGCGAGCCGGGCTTCAATATTTCGCTGTGATATAGCTACATGTGTCCTTTCGACACTCTTAAAAGCTTATAACGCAACAACCCTATAAACGCTTGTTCTGAAGCAAAAACTGGGCGTCTTTAGGTGGGTCTGGCACGGAACCCCTTGGCGGTCGATTTCGGCATGGTTCGGAAACATTGATTTGGGCCCGAATGACCCCTAAAAACTTTGTACTACTTAAAAATTGTCTAAAAAGACAATGAGACCAACTTATTTCTTTTCATTCGGCAGCAAGTTAAAACTTTGTCTCAGCTGGTTGCAAAAACCATTTGACTTGTACTCGTTCAATTTCTTGGTTTTATCATTGGGAATTGCTCGTACCGGATGCCTAAAATTCAAAAAATTGCTCGAATCCAAATATTCAGGTGGCTTAGATTTTCTGATTAATTTTTAGTAGCCAACAAAAGGGTGGGGGTGGGGTGTGTAATCACTCCTTTTTTGAATGTAGTAAAATTCCCTCGCTAGTTTCCGACTAAAAACCTATTGGAAAAGATAAATAAGATCCGACTGAAACAGAATATAAAAAAACTGAACCAGAGTTACTAATATACGGGGTTCTAGGAGCAGCGTGCCAACACACCATTTTTTCGAGAAAAGCGCTGAACTTCCCTGTAAGCTAAACCCAAATCGAAACAATTTCCAACCATTTACATTTATTTCCTGCATAAAGCAACGCTAGTTCTTTCTCTTTATAATCAGTTTTCCGCTGGCAGACAAATTTGTGCGTGCTAGAGGTGTAGCGATATATATGCCTCACCCTGTAGAGATCAAGCCTTAGCAAAACTTCAGAGCATCACTGTATGTCTGGTTACGCGGTAACTCGGGTAATATCAGTCGTAACGAATCCCCAAAACGTTAGCATCCAGTACTGACAATACGTCTGGGTACCCTAGGGGCAAAACGGAAGAGCGGAGACATGACGGCGGGAGAGAGAGACGCAAAGAGAGAGAGAGAGAGATAGAGAGAGCGAGGGAGAGCGAGAGCCAGAGAGAGGGAGACAGAGAGAGAGAGAAAGAGAGAGAGAGAGAGAGAGAGAGAGAGAGAGAGAGAGAGAGAGATGGCGTGTAGTGTAGTGCGCGGCGATGGAAAGTCAATCGATGAATACCAACGTTTTAGAGTTGATTAGACGGAATTGAATAACCTTTTAAACAGCCCTCCAGCATTAACCTTCCAATAAAGAGAGAAAAGTAATATATGAGAAGTAAAAGGATGAAAGGAAACTCCACACTGCGAACAGTGGGAGTCTTAACAGGCCGAAGCCTGCGGAACCCCGAAGGGTGTGAACTCGCAAGCGAGCGAACGGCAAAGCCGTGTGAACCAAACCACAAGGGAATGGCGGGT